GGAACACACAAATAAATACACACAAATAAAAGTATCCCCCATATTTTCCCATATTTTCTGGGTTCCTGTCTTCCCCCCACTTCCCATATTTTCCCATATTTTCTGGGAATCGCCGATTAATTGTGTCTGTGTGTTTTTTCCCCTCCTGACTTTCGTCGTCCTCCTCCCTCCCCTCGCTCCTCCGGGGCCGCCGGATTGGGGATCGCGTCGCGGCGTGGGCCTGGGCCGGGTCCGTCCGCGCGCGGGCCCACGGGGAGGTCAGAAGCAGGACCCCCCCCTCATCCTGCGGGAGGGGGCCTGAGCTGGGACCGTACATGGACATTCTATTCGAACCCTGTGGCCCAAGGCGCCCCCCCGAACCCCCGAATTTAATATTGATGGCGTGGCGACGGGGGGGGGGCGTGAGTGGACAGAAATATTCGAACCCCAAAGCACCGCCTTTGCTAAGATCAACATTGATGTCGGGGGCGCGGGGGTGATTTAGAATCTCCCTCGAATGTGTGAGGGTTTGAATATATTGTCCATCTACTGGGGGGCCAGGAACACTAGGGATAGGGGCCCTTTTCTGCAGATGCACCGAACCTATCCGCTCAGATTGATTATCCCTAATTGGGCGCCCGAGTTATCCGGGGTATCTCGGGTCCGGGGTAACTCGGGTTTGGATTCCCGAAAAAGGAACCCGAGTTAGCCCTGACCCGAGTTACCCCTGATGATTTTGGGGCTCTGGACGCCCGAGTTATCCGGGGTAACTCGGGTCCGGGGTAACTCGGGCTTGGCTTCCCGAAAAACGAACCCGAGTTAGCCCTGACCCCAGTTACCCCTGATGATTCGGGGCTCTGGGATAGGGGCCCTTTTCTGCAGATGCACCGAACCTATCCGCTCAGATAGATTATCCCTAATGCGAAGAGGGGGACCTCAGTGAGTCCACGTCTTCATCGTGTTATTAGGGTTAAGGGTTCCTTTATTCTCGATGATGGCGGGGCACCCGTTGGCAGGCCAGGTTCTGATTCAGTGTGCCTGCAGTGTGGCAAGCAGTGGCAACACGCGGGAGGCGAGGAGACGAGCCCACCAGTGCGCAGCCGCACCCACGGGATCGTCGGGAGGCGAACTTGCGTGCGGGAAGGCGAACGTGAAAGCCCGTGGCGCCAGGCATCGGAGGGCCGACGATGTCTTTGCTGTTTCCCGCGCTGCTCAGCACGAGACCCTGGAGCCGAATCGGGCACAGAAGCTTTGCCCGTCCATCCTCGCTCCTGCGAGTGCGAGGCTCAGTGACTCCGATGGGTGGACAAGTCCTGCCCACCTCGGCGAGGTCTCGGCGGTGCCACACGACCAGAGGCCCCGGAGAGCTCTCGAGGGCGCAACGCGGCCAGAGGCCCTGGAAGTCTCGGGGCGGTGCCGGCACTGCCGCACCGAGTGCCGTGACCTGGGCGCGGGCGGGCACGCCGAGTCCGTCACACGGCGGCCGTGGGAGACCGTCGAGCCCGCGTGCCGCGTGCAGGCCCCGACGCAAGCTGTGGGAACTCCCAGCCGGCCAGGCAACGCCACCGCCTTTGCCCCCAGAAGGCTGTGCGACGCAAGGACGCCGCCGGACCGTACGCGAAACAGGGATAACCCGCGCAGAGGCAAGGGGAAGGAGGAGGCGCAGAGGAAAGAGAAGGGTCGAGAGCTTTTCAGCCAGCGCAGACAGCAGTAGAAGCCAGAGAACATGAGAAACACCACTCCTGCTACAGGCTGGCGGCACATGTGGTGTGTGCACGCGCGCGAGGCTCCTTCGGCACGCAGTGCACGGAACCGAACCCTGTCCGTTATAGGCTTATAGACCACCATAGAGTTTATGGTGGTCTACAAGTCTATAACCAGCATTTGATGGGCATGTTTTCCACCACCACCACCACAAGTTGGAGGGGAGAAGGAGGAGGAGGAGGAGGAGGAGGAGGAGGAGGAGATGGAGGAGGTGGAGGAGGAGGACCCCCTCCCTCTCCAACTTATGGTGGTGGTGGTGGAAAACAGGCCCATCAAGCATTTGGTCCATTAAACCAGATGCTGGGCAGCGCCTACGGTGGAATTCTCACAAAGGGGAAATCGAGACCGATGGCGAGCGGGGAGCCAGGGAGGCGCAACACTCCAGGCCCGGCGGCGAGCCACTACTGCACGGGTACCCACACGTGCGAGACGCCTGTGAGCAGAGAGTTCTCGAGCCCGACGCGGAGCGGCTGCGCCAAGGGGATGAACGAGCAGGAGAAGCGGAGGGCAACGTCGAGACCGACGGTCAGCAGCTGCGGCATGTGGGCCAACGAGTGCGAGAGGCAGCCGGCGGCGAGATCAACGCGTGCGAGAGGCACGGCGAAGGCGAGCCCAGGAAGGTGATCGGCTACGGCACGACGAGGAACGCGCGTGGGAGGCTGCGGTGAGGTCGAGCCCGACGACGGCCGTGGCAACCAGCAGCAGCAACCGTCTATCAGGGCCGCCCAGGCCGAAGAGAATCTGAAGCCGGAAAACAGAGTCGCGCCCAAATGATTGACCAACAAAGGACACCTAACCCTTCGGGAGGGGACCTGAGTTAGGAGGGCCCAAAACATGAGGGATAGGGGCTCTTTTCTGCAGATGTATCGACCCAGAAAGCCCTCTATGATTCCGAACGCGAGGACGGGGACCTCCGTGAGGCCCCGCCTTCATCGTGTCATTAGGGTTAGGGGGTGTGTTTTGTTGTCGATGGTCATGGGGCCAACTCGAGCGAGAAAACGCGGACGGTGGAGCCGAGCCAGGCGCCCACCCACTTCGCAGGAGGCAGCGCGTGCGAGAAGGCGCGGGCAGGGACAGCCGTGCCACTCGGAGGCCAGCGCTGGCACGGAGGCCGGCGAAGGCAGCCGGCAGCCGGCCGCGAGCGGGGCACTGCAGGCAGCTCGCGCAGCGATCGCACGAGAGTGGCCGAGGCTCCCCTTTCGCCGCTACCCGAGAGGCGAGAAGCCAGGACGCGAAGCGGCAGCCCTCGGCTCCGTCTCTGCGACCCGCCCGCCCGTGAGCAGCACGGGTGAGCTCAGCGCGCGCGATGAGAGGAGGGCAGCGAGAAGCCAGGCCAACAGGAGGCCCGACAGCGAGCAGGCGCAGAACAAAGCAACTAGAGGAGCAACACATTGCATAATCAGAAAGGTCCGCGCGTATTCCTTGGATCCGCGCTGGGCCCCCCTCCCCGGCGCGCGGAGCGCGTCGAGGGCGGCGCCGCGGAGGCGCCGCCTGGGGGGGCCCAGCGCAGATCCGAGAAATCCGCGCGGGCCTTTAGGATCATGCAGTTTGCTGCTCCTGTGTTTTGCTCCGTGTCTGCTCGCTGTCGGGCCTCCTGCTGGCATGGCTTCGCTGCCCTCCTCTCATCGCGCGCGCTGCTGGTGCCCCGAAAAAATCCTGTTGGTGCCGTGTGCTTGTTTGAAGGGGCCCTGACACACACACACACACACACACACACACACACACACACAAAAAAAAAAAAGGATTCCCCCATATTTTCCCATAGTTTCAGGGGTTTTGCCTTCCCCCCCCCCCCAGAATCCCCATCTTTCCCCCCATTTCCTTGGGACTCGACGACTGAATGTGTCTGTGTGCTCTGTCCCCTCCCGCTTGCTCTTCCACCAGGGGGCCGGCGCCCACCGGGCCCCGCCACGGGCCGTGCGCAGCCCTGCCGCCCGCCGTGCCCCGCGGCGAGGCGCGCGGCACCCCGCGGAGGCGGGCGCCAAGCCGCCCGCGGAGGGGCCGCCGAGCCCGGACGGAGCGGCGGCCCCAAAGGGCCGCCCTGGGAGCTCTCCGACGCCGCGGCAGGAGGCACGAGGCGTCGCGGGAAGCCACGAAGCCTCTCGCGGCGGAGCAGAAAACGTCGCAAGAGAGCACGAGACCGCCGCGAGAGATAACAAAAAAAAGACATCGCGGCAGCCCCGAGAGAGACCTCGTCTCTCTGCGGCGTCCCGTCCGGGCCAGGTCGGTCTGCGACGGTCCCAGGGCCCGCAGCCGGGGGAAAGACCGCCCGGTGCGGAACGGCTGCAGCGCCTGGGCGCCTGTCTGCCCTCTTTCGGTAGAGGCCTCCCGAAGGGGGCCCGAGTGGATGGGATCGGAGGATCGCGCCGCATCGCCGATGCGTCGGCGATGCATCGGCGACGTCAGAGAAGGTATCGGGGACCTCGACGTCGAGAAAATCGGGCTCCACATCGAGCCGCATCGCCGATGCATGCGATGCGGAGCGATCCTACGACCCCATCTACTCTGATCCCATCTGGGAGGCCTAGATCCTGCTGGCCCAGATTCTGCTGGGCCGAACGAGAGCTGTGATTTTTGTACGACGCGAGGGGGTCCCCAAATCTGCGATGTCATGATTTTTCAGAACGGGGCACCATGAGCCCTGGACCACCTCCGTAGGACAGATTCCTCGTCCCGGACGTTTCTTGACGATCCCGCGGCCCGGCGAGGGCCCCAAGACGCCGAAAACGGCGAAAACTCCTAAATCCGACGTTGCAACAAATCGCAACATCGCAACAAATCCAGACTCGAGCCCCGAACCAAATCTTTTTGCGCCATTTCCCGAGCCGGATCGATCTGTGAGGGTCCTAGTAGAGCCCGAAAAAAGCGTGAAAACGGCGCGCCGTGACCAGATTGCAACGCCAGGACTTAGGAGAAGGAGGAGGAGGAGGAGGAGGAGGAAGCGGAAGCGGAGGAGGAGGAGGAGGAGGAGGAGGAGGAGAAGCAGGAGAGGTGGAGGAGTAGGGAGGAGAGGAGGAGGAGGATGGAGGACAGAGGAGGAGGAAGGGGGGGAGGAGAAGGAGCAGGAGAGGAGGAGAGCAGAGGAAGAGAAGGACGAGCAGGAGAGAACGAAGGAGGAGGAGGAGGAGGAGGAGGAGGAGAGGAGGAGGAGGAAGGAGGAGAGGAGGAGGAGGGACCTGCACCTCCCCTGCACGCCGGGCAAAAAAGCGCGGGCAGAGCGGGCCAGCCCACAGGTGGGCCCCGCGACCCCCGGCGGCCTGGCGCAGCTCGGCCTCCAGGCGGCTCTTCTGAGAGGCGAGGCGGCGGACCTCCCGGCGCAGCTCCTCGCCACGCGGTATGGGGGAGTGCGGAGGGGGAGGAGGAGGAGGAGGAGGAGGAGGAGGAGGAGGAGGAGGAGGAGGAGGAGGAGGAGGAGGAGGAGAAGGATTTTTGCATGGGACCATGCTGCAGCCCACATACACCACTCAGGGTGGGCGAGGCCCTGAGGGACATCAGCAAACGAACCGTGACCGACCGCACTGAACGATCGGCACGGTTTTCATCTGCGAAAGAGAGGTGGGTGTGCCTGGGCGCTCCGCGAGGCCAGACAACAGAGACCCACCTCTGAGTGGCCCCTCACAGGCACACAGGGACCAAGGGGACCATGCTACACCTGGACAAGGGCCAGACTGAGGCACGGCGTAGCACAGTGCCACATTCCTCCTCACGAGGAGCAAGAAAAAGAGGCCCTCTACACAGGAGGGCGCCCGACAAAAACCCCACCAGAGTTAGGCGGGAAGCAATGCCACCAGCAGGATCCTGCAAGTGGGAAAGCAGCACAGACCGCCCGTCCACGACAGAACAAGAGGACAAGCGGAATCCAGCCAGAGCGCTGGGCTGCGAGTGTGTTGGGGCTAGGAGCCTGAGCTCCAGTCCACAGCAACGCCTCCAACGAGACAACGGGGCGGATAGCCCTCATACTCCCGAGCAGTTGGCACCTCCACGCGAGACGCACGCGTGCACACACACACGAACAAGCGGAGGGCCAGGCGTTGGGGCCAGGGACAAAACTCCTGGCCACAGCATACGCCATTGGAGCGACTGTCGGGATAAATTTACCCACGTGCTCCACTGAAGGAAAACCTTCAGATATGCGCACATCTTCCCCCTGAAGCGGGGTGCCTGGCACACGTGCGGACACGAACGAACCAAAACGCGCAAGAATGGCCAACAAAAGGACGACGAGGCGTCGAGGCCTGCCCCGGGTGCTGGTGCGCCTGGACGACAAAGCCTCGCCCCAGATGTAGAGCCGAAGCATCACGAGGAGGAGGAGAAGGAGGAGGAGGAGAAGGAGGAGGAGGAGGAAGAGGAGGAGGGGGAGGGGGGGGAGGACGAGGGGGAGGAGGAGGCGGAGGAGGAGGAGGAGGAGGAGGAGGAGGAGGAGGAGGAGGAGGAGGCAGGAGAAGAGGAGGACAAGCGAGAGGAGGAGGAGGAGGGTACGCAGTTCGCTGGCGCGGCGGTGTCCTCAATCTTGTTGGATGGATCTCTCGAGCTCTCCGCCGCCTCGAGCGGCGTGCGTGGAGCACAGGAGCGCGGCAGGGCCACAGGAGAGCGCGGCACCGAAAGTGCAGCTCCGCACGCGTGTCTCGCGAGCAAGAACACATCAAAGCCCCAGGACGGCGTGGCGTTGACAATGTAGCTCAGCATGAACATATAACGGCGCGGCGGCGTCCTCTTTCTCCCCCGAGATCCTGGCGCACAAGGCGATTTCGCCTGGAGTCGGTCCCCGGAACCATCACAGATCGATCCGGCTCGAAATTGACGCAAGGAGATGGAATCAAGGGCTCTTGGCTAGATTTTTCACGATGTTGTAACTTTTCCGCGGATTCGGATCTCAGGGCCGCTTCCTCCTCGACCCTCGCTCCTCGACCCTCGCTCATCTTCCCTCCTCCTCCCCCTTCCTCCTCCCCCCTCCTCCTCCCACTCCTCCTCACTCCTCCTGCTCCACCCTCCTCCTCCTCCTCCTCCTGCCTCCTCCTCCTCCTCCGCCTCCTCCTCGTCCTCCTCCTCCTCCTCCTCCTGCCTCCTCCTCCTCCTCCTCCTCCTCCTCCTCCTCCTCCTCCTCTCCTCCTCCTCCTCCTCCTCCTCCCTTTCCTCCTCCTCCTCCTGCTCCTCCTCGCCTCCTCCTCCTCCTCCTCCTCCTCCTCCTCCTCCTCCTCCTCCTCCTCCTCCTTGGGCGATAGATTCTGGGTCGGCGGCGCCGCGAACCAGTGGGTTGGTGCGCGCGGGGGCGATTCTGGCCGACGGCGCAGCGGCGCCAGCATCAGCCCCAAGGCGTCTGACATCGAACGCCGCGGTGGGTGGGGCGGCGACCGGCCCGGCCCGATGACCCTGCCCGCCGCCGCGACTGGACCCCGCGTACGCCGGGGCGGGTTGCCGGCCAGCCCCCCCGGCAACCTGGGGAGGCAGCGCGCGAGCTCGAGAGGGGGGGGGAGGAGCGGGGGCAGGAGGAGCGGGAGCAGCAGCGCGAGCAGGAGGTGGGGAGGACGAGGAGGGTGAGGACGAGTCCCTTGACAGCCGCGCGTGTCGAGCTCTCGGTGGCCACGGCGGAGACGGAGGCCCCCGGGAGAGGGGGCGCCCGCCATCCTCCTCGGCGTCGGCGTCGACGCGCGCTGCCGCCACGACGACGACGCCGACGTCATCGTCGTCGACGTCGTCCTACGACGTCGTCGCCGTCGTCGACGTCGTCCTGCGTCGAGGACGACGACTCCAGGATCCTCGACCTCGTCGGGCGCGCGTGCAGGCGCCGAGGCGACATCGCCCGCGCCGCCGCCGACCGCGGCCTGCTCGCTGCAGCCAGCGGCGGCCGAGCTCCCCGATGCCGATGGCCGCAGCTGCGACATGCACCTGCTCCCCTTGCACTGTCTCTTCCTCCTCGTTCCTTCTCCTCCTCCCTCCCCCTGCCTCCTGCCTCCTCCTCCTCCTCCTCCTCCTCCTCCTCCTCCTCCTGCCTCCTCTCGTTCCTCCTCCTTCTCCTCCTCCCTCCTCCTCCTCTTCCTCTCCCCTCCTCCTCTCCTCCTCCCTCCTCCCTCCGCTCCTTCTTCTCCCCCTCCTCCTCCCCCTGCCCCCTGCCTCCTCCTCCTCCTTCTCCTCCTCCTCCTCCTCCTCCTCCTCCTCCTCCTCCTCCTCCTTCTCCCCCTGCTCCTCCCCCTCCTCCTCCTCCTCCTCCTCCTCCTCCTCCTCCTCCTCCTCCTGCTGCCTCCTGCCTCCGGACTCCTGCGTCCTCCTCCTCCTCCTCCTCCTCCTCCTTATCCTGTCTCCTCCTCCTCCTCTTCCTCCTCGTCCTCCTCCTCCTCCTTCTTCTCCTCCTCTCGGGTCGGACTGGACGGGGGGGTGAAGAGGGGAGGAGTTACGGGGGGGGTGAAGAGGGGAGGAGTTAGCGAATCGACGCACGTCGCCGATTCTCCGGGCGCCTCCCAGCGCCGGAGGCGCCAGCGTATCGAGGCAAACGCCTGTCGAGGAAAACGCCCGGCGCCTGGCGTCAGCATGCAGCACTTCTCGCCTGGCCCCCCCCCCACCTTCACGCCCACCACCTGGCGCGAGAAACATATATGCACATGAGGGGGGCGAACTGTCACTCATTGTCCCTGGGTGCGGGGTTCAAGTGGAAATCCGTGGTGAGGATTCTGCTTGTTGCGTTGAATTCTCATTTCTGAAGAATAATTATTGTTGATCCCCCCCGTCCGGTGCACATTTGTTTTTCGATTGAAGTGCCCTTCCCAAGGAAAGTCTTGAGCGTCAAACTGTGTCTTTGGCCCCCGGTTTACAGCAACAACGGCTCCCGATTGAAGTGCCCTTCCCAAGGAAAGTCTTGAGCGTCAAACTGTGTCTTTGGCCCCCGGTTTACAGCAACAACGGCTCCCGCCTGAGACTTCCTCACCATTTAGCCAGGACCCCCCTTCCCGCCCGAAACCTCCTCGCATTTTATTCAGGAATCGCGCTCTCGCTTGGGACTTCCTTACGATTTATTCAGGAATCGCTCTCCCGGCGCTCTGGAGTCGCGCTCTCGCTGGAGACTCGCTTGCAATTTACTATAGAATGGCGCCCTTGCGTTGGACACTCTTACAATTTACTCAAGCGCCGCGCTCCCGACACCCAGGCACCCAGGAGTCGCGCTCACGCTTAGCATTCCCTCTCAGATTAACTAGGAATCTGGATCTCGCTGCCCTTCGTGGCCCCGTTGCAGCCCTTCGTGGCCCCCTCGCTTTGTTTGTGGCCCCGTTGCAGCCCCTCGTGGCCCCCTCGCAGCCCTTCGTGGCCCCGTTGCAGCCCCTCGTGGCCCCCTCGCTCCCCTTCGTGGCCCCGTTGCAGCCCTTCGTGGCCCCCTCGCGTTGTTTCGCGGCCCCGCTGTCGCCCTTCGTGGCCCCCTCGCTGCCCTGCGTGGCCCCGTTGCAGCCCTTCGTGCCCCCCTTGCAACCTTTCGTGGCCCCCTCGCTGCTCTTCGTGGCCCCGTTGCAGCCCCTCGTGGCCCCTTCGCTCCCCTTCGTGGCCCCATATATGTATGCCCTTCGGGGCCCCCGTTCGTGCGCGCCCGTGGTTGCCCCATGTGCGTGCCCTTCGTGGCCCCGCTGTCGCCCTTCGTGGCCCCCTCGCTGCCCTTCGTGGCCCCGTTGCTGCCCCCAGTGGCCCCGTTATTGCCCTCCGCGGCCCCATATACGCATGCACTTCGTGGCCCCCGCTCGTTCGCGCCGCTGTCGCCGTGTGTGGCCCCCTCACGGTCCTACGTGGCCCAGTTGCTACCTTCAGTGGCCCCATCGTTGCCTTCTGTGGCCCCGCATTATCTGCCTTTCGTGGCCCCCGCTCGTTCGCGCCCTTCGTGGCCCCATACGCATTCTCTTCGTGTCCCCGCTATCGCCCTTCGTGGCCCTGCTGTCATTCTATCTCGCTCTCGCTTTCGCTCCTCGTCGTCGTCGCCGTCGCCGTCGCCGTCGTCGTCGTCGTCGTCGTCGTCGTCGTCGTCGTCGTCCTCGTCGTGGTCGGTTCCCTGTTCGTCCCTCTGGGGGTCGGATCGACGGTCCGCGGCCGCCCCGCCGATCAGCGATGCCGCTGGCCAGGCCGACGGTCCGCGGCCGCCTGGCCGCTTGCCGGGGCCCGACCTGCAGGTAAGAAAGGTATACCCCCCCAAAGGGGTTGGATCGAAGACGGAGAGGGCGGGTATCGAGGGTTTGGGAAATACGCGTTATTGGACACTCGAGCAGATAAGGGCGAACAGTCTTAAAATGAGTGTTGTGGTTGTTGCTGTTGTTGTTGTTGCTGTTGTTGTTGGTGTTGCTGTTGGTGCTGTTGTGATTGTTGTTGTTGTTGGTGGTGGTGGTGGTGGTGGCGCTGTTGTTATTGTTTGTTGTTGTCGTCGTCCCCCTCGCGACCCACCCGCGACCCACCCCGCGACCCACCCCTCGACCCACCCCGCGACCCACCCAACGACCCACCCCACGACCCACCCCGCGACCCACCCGCGACCCACCCCGCGACCCACCAGCGACCCACCCCGCGACCCACCCGCGACCCACCCGCGACCCACCCGCGACCCACCCCGCAAACCACCCGCGACCCACCCCGCGACCCATGCGCGACCCACCCGCGACCTACCCGCGACCCACTTGCGACCCACTGGCGACCTATCCTGCGACCCACCCGCGACCGATCCACATTGGTTTGAAAATCAAATTGGAGCTTGCGGCGGGCTTGTTGTATAATCTGTGAAATTTTGGCGCCTGCGGCGGGCTTCTCTGGAGTTTCGCAGACTGCCGACGTCCCCACCGCCCGCTCATTCTTATCCGCATCTGCGGGGTGATACGTATAGATCCGCCAATCCTGCGGCGTGTGTGAGGCGCTTTTCCATTTGATTCGTCGTCATCGTCGTCGTCGTCGTCGTCGTCGTCGTCGTCGTCGTCGTAGTCGTCAGTCCCAAGGGAATTATCAGGAACAAGGGACTTGAAAAACGTGGTAGTCAAATCGAAGGGGATCCCCTTCCCGTTGATCCCTTACCTGCCGGGAGGGGGAGGGCTTCGGGGGGGGGTCCCGAGGGGAGGTCGCCGGGTATGTCCAGGGTCAGAATGCTATCCCCCCGAGGGGTTCGGAGCCTCAAACAGCCCTAAGACGGGCCAAAGTGCCCCAAGAAGCCCCCAAGACAATCCAAGAGGGCCCCGAATCGCCGAAGGATCGGTCCAAGACGCCCAAGATAGCCTCCAGACAGCCAAGAGGCCTCCGAGACGCCCCAAGAGGCTTCCAAGAGCACTCCCACGAGGGCTCCACGAGATGAACTGAATTGATTTCCCCTGGGTCGACAGATTTGGGCGTTCTCGCCCTTTCGGCTTCTCAACGCTCCAAGACGGCGTAAGAGGTCCCCAAGATCGCCCCACGACGGCCGAAGAGGCCTCCAAATCGGCCCCCAGGAAGCCGCAAGAGGCAACCAAGAGGCTCCCCAGAGGCCCCTATGTGGCTCCAAAACTGCCCCCCAGAGGCCCCCGAGAGCGCTCCGAAGAGACCCCAAGAAGCATCTCTGAGGACTCTGACCCACGTCAGCGTCGTCGTCGTGGTCGTGGTCGTGGTCGTGGTCGTGGTCGTGGTCGTGGTCGTGGTCGTGGTCGTCGTCGTCGTCGTCGTCGTCGCCGTCGTCGTCGTCGTCGTCCCCCTTCAGGGTCGGCGGCACCGGCCGTAAGGCCTTCGCAATACCTCCACAAACATACACCTGTGGAGGTCCGCGCAGGTTTCGTGGATTGGCGCTGGATCCCCCTCCCTGGCGCGCGGAGCGCTCCAGGGGCAGCGACAGGGGCGCCGCCGGGGGGTCCCGATCCGAGAAGTCCGCCTGGACCGCCGATTTGCCCGACCCGGTTCTGCTTATTTTACTCTTCCTCCTCGTCCTCGTCATCAATCTTCCTAGTCCTCGTTGTCCGGGGGCTAGCTCTGGGCCATACCTTCTGCGAGTGGAGCTCCCACAGAAGGGGCGAGCCATCCTGGCACAGCGTCGGAGGAGCTAGGGTCCCTGACCTCCTCGCGTCGTGGAAAAAAAAAACGCGACGGACACTTTCTGCCAATGAGCAGCTTCCGGGGGTACTTACAATACCGGGCCACGGGACCGACTCAGGATGAAAAGCCGGTCCCCGGGAAGGGTCCCAGACCTCTGAGGAGCCACATTGTGAACAGAATCGCCGCGTCAGAGGTCTGGGGTGTGGGTGTGGGCGGGGAACGCCCGAGAGGCCCTGCAAAGATCTCCCCCCGAGACGGCTTCCGAGGCCCCGAAGAGGGGCCCGAGAAAGGAGAGAAGGGGCACTGCAAGTGAGCGTTTTCTTATTCGGCGTTTCGACAGTTGGCGGAAGGGGGGGGGAGGGGGGGGTTCTGGCTCCAGACCTCTGCTGAGTGCGACCGTTTGCAGCCGTGCGTCCTGTGGGGGAGACTCCACCTGCCTGAAACAGAAACAAGCGCCCCCAAACAGCCAAGATCTACTCTATGGAGGAGGGGGGCATGGGGTGCTGCGAGGGCCCGAGCCGATCGGCAAAACAATGAGTACAGATTTGGACGCCCGAAATGGGTACGAAAAGAATGGGTACAATGCCCAACAACACATGCTGTCCCAAACCAACAGCGGCCGCTGTTGGGCAGGCGGCCTTCTGTCTCGAATGGACACGGGCCGCGGCGGCGCGGACAGCGAGTCCTGTTCAAGCTGAAAAGGAGCCTCTGCTGAACATTGTACCCCTTCTTTCCGTGCCCATCTTTGGGCGCCCGAGTTATCCGGGGTAACTCGGGTCCGGGGTAACTCGGGTTCGGATTCCCGAAAAGCGAACCCGAGTTATCCCTGACCCGAGTTACCCCTGATGATTCGGGGCTCTGACATCTCGTTCGTGCAGAACAGAACCGATCACGGGGCAGGAGGAGGAGAGCGAGGGCGGGCCGGGGGCGCCCTGCAGGCCTGGCGCCCTCGCGCCGCCCGCCGCGCGGGAGGCGTGCGCGACGCGGCGACGCGGGGGCCTCTTCCCGCCCTCGCGCCCCCGCGCCGCCCCTCGCGGAGCGAGGGCGGGCGCTCCTGGAAGAGCAAACAACGGCACAGACATGGGGGGGCTTCCTCCTCCGTCCTACCTCCTCCTCCTCCCTTCCTCCTCCTCCTCCTCCTCCTCCTCCTCCTCCTCCTCCTCTCCTCCTCCTCCTCCTCCGTCCTTCCTCCTCCTCCGCCTCCTCCTCCTCCGCCTCCTCCTCCTCCGCCTCTATAACAGAATGATGGAGCGCCGTGCGGTTGCGAGCTCGCTTCGTCTGCAACCGCCGCGGCTCGAGCCTCTTCTGTGGAGGCCTCGGGAGGCCTGCGCCGGGGCTCGCGCGCGCGCCCGGCGTCCCGCGGCGTGACGCTCGTCGCGCTCCACGCCTGCGCGGCCCGTCTGGGGCGCTGGCCCGCCTCCCGGGCGCTCCCGCCTGAACTTTGGGAGGTCCGCGCGGACTTCCTGGATCTGCGCTGGGCCCATCCTCCCGGGCGCGCGGAGCGCGCCAGGGGCGGCGCCGGAGGCGCGGCCAAGGGGACCCAGGCGCGGATCCAAGAAATCCGCGCGGAGCGCCAACAGTTTTTACTTGATGCTGCTGCTGCTGCTGATAGTGATGATGATGATGCTGATGATGATGATGATGATGATGATGATGATGCTGATGATGAAGAAGAAGATGATGATGATGCTGATGCTGATGCTGATGCTGCTGCTGACGATGCTGATTGTGATGGTTCTGATGCTGATGATGATGATGATGCTGATGGTGATGATCAGGAGGATGCTGACGATGATGATGCTGACGATGCCGATGACGATGTTGATGATGATGATGTTGATGATGATGATGATGCTGATGATGATGATGATGATGATGATGATGATGATGATGATCAGAATGATGCTGATGATGCTGATGATGATGATGATGAGGATGATGATGATGATGATGATGATGATGATGATGATGATGATGATGATGATGATGATGATGCCGTTTTTTCTTCTTCGCTTCCCGCCCTCGCGCCCTCGCGCAGCCCCTCGCGGAGAAGGGCGGCCGCTCTGGCCCAGACCGCGGCGCGAGGATTTCGCCACCTCCCCTGCGCCCCCCAGTCACGGGGGGGGGGGTGATGGATGGGGGGGGGACCTGTCTGGGGGGCGTGCCCGAACCAGGGGGACCTGCCTGGGGGACCTGCCCGGGGGACCTGCATGGGGGACCTGCCTGGGGGGATCTGCCTGGGGGGACCTGCCTGCGAGCCCTGTGCCCCCCAGTCGGGAGGGTGATGATGTGGGGGGGACCTGCCTGGGGGGCGTGCCCGAACCAGGCTCTCAACAGGGGGCCCGTAAGGCCGCATCTCGAGCCAATGCGCAATTAGGGGGGGGTCCCAGAGGAGCCCGAAGGGGCCCCTGGAGGGCCCTTCCTCTTCACCCCCCCCTTGCCATCAGGTCGGGCATGTCCTCCTACAGGAGGCTTGGGAACGAAAAGTAGGTTTTTGTCCTTTCCCTTCTTTCCTTTATTTTCGTTAACAAACCAAAAAAAGCACAACAAAAATACGTAGCACCCCGCAGATGCGGATAAGAGTGAGGGGGCGGTGGGAACGTCGGCAAGTTGCGAGACTCTGAAGAAACCCGCCGCAGGCGCCAAACATTCACAAATTATAGAGCCCGCCTCGTCGCCGGCTACATTTCATTAAAAATGAGGCTCACGCTCGAGCGGTTGGGGGGGCGCCAAAACCGGCCCCCCAACAACAAAAACGCTCCCGCTCGAGACTTCCGCTTTCTTTACCCAAGGAGCCGGTGCTCTTGCTCGCCGCCGAAAACCGCCGCCCCAACAAGACCAACGCTCCCGCTCAAGACTTTTTCCCGTTTTACCTTGGACTGGCGCGCTACACTTTCTCTGATCGGCGCCGCCCCCAGCAAGAACAACGCGCCCGCTCGAGACGCCCTCCTTTTTAGTCAGAGCCGGTGCTTCTACTCGCCGCCGAAAACCGCCGCCCCAACAAAACCAGCAATCCCGCCCGAGACTTTGTCCCGTTTTACATCGGACTGGCGCCCAACTCTCTTTTGAATTGGCGCCGCCCCCCACAAGAACAACGCTCCCGCACGAGGCTTCCTCCCTTTTTTCCTGAAGACGGTGCTGATCCTCGCCGCCGACAGTCCCGACAAAACCGCGGCTCCCGCTCGAGACTTCTTCCCTTCTTACTCAAGGCGGTGTTCCTCCTCGCCGCCGACAACTGTCGTCCCAACAGAACAAGCGCTCTCGCTCGAGACTTCGTGTTGTTTCACGCTGGACTAGCGCCCTACTCTCTTCTGCATTGGCGCCCCTCGCAGCAACAACAGCACCCCTGCTCGAGACTTCCTCCCTTTCTATTCAGGGCCAGGTCCTTGCATCGCCGCCGACAGCCCCCATCTCCACCATGCCAATCCTGTCGCTCGATACTTCGTTGTGCTTTACCCTTGGCTGGGGCTCCACTGGCGGTCTCGCATCGGCGCAGCAGGGCGCGGGCATGTGTTTTCGAGGCGGGATATGTTGAAATTCCTCGGAGGTGTTTGCAAGACCTCGTTGGGCGGGAGATCTGGGAATGGGAATAACGGACCCCCGCGATGGAACAATAAGCCCCCATGATGGGGATAGTTATCATGATGGTCGCATGCTGCGTGTGGAAGCATCGCGCAGGCGCAGGAGGCCAAAATTATGTTGTTGTTGCTGTTAAGATTCATGATGTTGTTGTTGTTGCTGCTGCTTGTTGTCGTCGTTCCACCCGCGACCCACCCGCGACCCAACCCGCGACCCACCCCGCGACCCACCCCGCGACCCACCCCGCGACCCACCCGCGACCCAACCCGCGACCCACCCGCGACCCACCCCGCGACCCACCCCGCGACCCACCCTCAAGGAGGAAGAACCACCCGGGCCAGACAATTGACGTTTACTAAAACGGCCCTGGGCGTTGACTAAACAGCCCTGCCCTGTTCGATTCATTCCTTGTGTGCGTTTACTAAACGGCTTCGCTTGTCGGGGTGATTATTACGGGGTGGATGTTCTGCCCTCTGCACCCGCGGCCCACCCGCAAACCATTTGCGACCCAACCGCGACCTGCCCACATCGGTTCAACGAACAAATCAGCGCCTGCGGCGGGCTCGTTGCATCATTTGTGAGACTTTGGCGCCTGCGGCGGGCTTCTCCAGAGTCCCGCAAACTGCCGACGTCCCCACCGCCCCCTCACTCTTATCCGCATCTGCGGGGTGCTACGTATACATCCGCCAACCCTGCGGCGTGTGTGAGGCGCTTTTCCGTTTGAGTCGTCGTCGTCGTCGTCGTCGTCGTCGTCGTCGTCGTCGTCGTCGTCGTCGTCGTCGTCGTCGTAGTCGTCGTCGTCGTCGTCGTCAGTCCCAAGCGAATTATAAGGAACAAGGGACGACAAGGGGGGCGACCCCCGGCCCGCGGCCTGCTCGGCTCGGCTCCCCCCCGGGTGGGTGAGGCAGAGAGGCTCTTCTTCGCGCCGGCGCGCCGCGGGAGCCCCGCCGCGCACCGCCGCGCCCGCGGGGGACGCCGGCCGCGCGTCACCGCGGCGCGGCCTCGCCGCCCGCCCGGGCGCCGACGAGCTGCTGCAGCAGGCTCTTGACCTTGGAAGGAGCAACACGATAACGCCATGAGCGTAGACTTTGCGCGCCCCGCGCATCGGCGCTGGATCCCCCCTCCCTGGCGCGCGGAGCGCGCCAGGGGCGGCGCGGGAGGCGCCGCCAGGGGGGCACCAGCGCGGCTCCAAGAAGTCCGCGCGGAGCGCCAAAAGTTTATATGTGTATGGCGATGTTCTCTTCTTCGAGACCTCGCGTATGTCCCCTGTGGCCTCCTCTTCGGTGGCAGCTCACGGGAGCCTCCCGTGCCATCTTGCCGGCCCTTGCGAACCGACGCGAATCAAGGATCATCGACGCAGATCGACGCTAGATCGATGCTCATCGACGCTGGTCGACACTAACTAATCGACGCTAAGTCGGCGCGCTCTCGTCGATAACCAGAAGCTCGTCGACGCTAGCGCACTAGAAAGGCGGAACTACAAGGGCACTCAAGGCTCCCGTGATTTGCTACCGAACTCCTCGACCCGGCTCTCCAGCGTGCTGAGGCGGCGGGAATGCGCCTGGACCTCGACCTCCCCGCTGGTGCCCCTCACGTACCGCAGGATCTCGTCAAGTTTCTCCTCTGTCAGCAGCTCGGCCGGGAACGGCTCGCGCGCCATGAGCGGCATCCGCACCACCGGGAACCTCGACCTCGGCTCTGGCGACGTCGGGGGCGTGAGCTCCTTCTTGGGGCCCAGCATGTGCTTGAACGCCATCATGAGCGAGTTCCACAGCACCGTCTTGTAGCTCATCGCCAGCACGCCGCGGTAGAGCCCCGCAGCGCCCTCCGCGGCGAGGATGCTCCGCAGCACCTCCGAGACGGTCCCTGCCCCGCCGCTGGTGGTCTGCTGCAGGACCTTCACCCGGATCAGGGGGTACGTCACGATCGTCGCGAAGCCCTTCGACACCCCAGTGACGACGCCGACCACCATGGCGCTGTGGTCCTTCGCGTCCAGGGAGTCCATGCCACGGGCCTGCTTAACCATCGCCACTACCCGCAACAACGACGTGATGAGGGTGTTCATAATCGCCGGGTTGATGGCGAGGAACATCGAGATGAATAACCCCCGGTAGAAGACGGCTAAGCCGCCCTCGCGGTAGAGCTGAACGGCCGTGGCGAGGAAGCCTGCGCTCGTCGCGGAGAGCTGATTGACGCTCGAGACCACCTCGAAGGGCGTGGTGCACAGCCAGTTCAGCTGCTTCGCGAAAAGGTTCAGCAACAGCCGCACCATCGGGGGAGTCCTGGTCGAATCCTCGAACCTCGTCCCCAGCCTGAAGAGCATCCCGTGGAAAAGCCAGAAGTTGGCGCTGTGGATGGTCTCCTTGAACAGGGCGCCTCCCAGGCCGTGGTAAAACCCCAACAGGCCGTCCCTGCGGATGATGCGCAGGGCGGTGGTGACGAAGCCGCTGGGCTCCCCAGGGGCCGTGGTCTGCACCTGGAGCTTCACCGTGTCCACGGGAAACAGGATCGCCTCCGCCAGCACGCCGCCCACGGTGCCGCCGATGGCGTTTTTGATGATCTTGGAGGAGGGCTTCCCCCTGGAGATTGTTTATGTCCGCATGTGACTGCCCACCAAGCCACCCCAGCCCAACCCGAAATCGCCGTTGGGCCTGCCAAGTTCCAAGGGCGGGGACGTTCTGGAACATCGAGAAAGCACCGTGGAACCTGTACACCCACCAACCTACAGTTTTTTTGGGGGGGTCAGGGACCTTCGGGTTGGGTTGGGGTTGTTTGGCAAGTGATGGGCGCAAGGATCGTTCTCCAGGGGCGGGTGTGCGCTGCGATCGCCGTAGTCGGGCACAGCATGCCTTTGGGCATCAGCATGCGGGGGTGGCGGGGTGGCTGCAGGTGCCCCCCCCCACCCACACACACACAAAAAAAAAGCGCACACGATTACCACCGCTTCTCCAGGGGGGAGGGGGGGGGGTCGCTGGTAGGCAAGCGCGTTCCACTACACGCAGAGTAACTACTCGCAAACAACCTCGATCCACCGCCGGGGATTTACGATAGATTACATCGAGGCGAACACAAATGTCTCGAACATTTGCGAGCATGCACTTTGCGAGCAGCGGAGCGCGCTCGGTGAGCTCATGGGAGCCTCCGTGGGGGAGCCTGGCCCAGGTAACGACCGCTGCGCGCCAGAGGACACACACACACAAAAGAAAAAAAACAGACTCCTGGGCACCACGGAGGAGGCCGAGCCCAGCACGGCCCCGAGCTGGGGCGGCAGGGTGCCGCCGGGCGCCGGGCCGGACATGGGGGCGGCGCGGCGCGGCCCGCCTGCCTGGCACCCAGCAGCCCAGGCGCTCCCAGCGGCACCGCTGCCCACGCTGCGGGCCGCCCCTCGAACCCAGCCTAGGAGGAGGAGGAGGAGGAGGAGGAGGAGGAGGAGGAGGAGGAGGAGGAGGAGGAGGAGGAGGAGGAGGAGGAGGAGGAGGAGGAGGAGGGGGGCCGCGAGAGCATCGACGGGGGGCCCCGAGGCCCTGGCGGGTCGGCCTCGTCGAGCCGCGCAGCTCCGCTTGGTCTCGGGCCCCGGGGCCCCCACAGGGCGAGGCAGCTCGAGCAGCGGCGCCGGCCGCGGCGGCGGATGATGTTCCGCACTCTTCGCGGCGTCGGATCGAAGCGTCAGTCGGGTGCTCGTCGAGGGGGGGGGGCAGGAAAGGGGAGGTGCAGGAGCGCTCGCCTCTCGTGCACCTTCGGCGCCTGCAGTGGCAGCTTGGGGGCCGTTTGGGGCCCCTCGTGGGCCACGCTGCTGCATCCTCGATCCACCCGCGTTTATCGCCCCCCCGTTTCCGCCCGCCCGGCACAGGACGGCACCTCCTCTTCCAACAGACTTTGCTCTCGACCCATCCGACGGGACCGCTCCGCTCGGGACCGCGGCCGCGATGATGGCAGCGACGCCCCCCCCCTCCCCCACCTCCCAGGAGTGAATCATGATCAGCCTCCTCCTCCTCCACCTCCTCCCTCTCCTCCTCCTCCTCCTCCTCCTCCTCCTCCTCCTCCTCCTCCTCCTCCTCCTCCTCCTGCTCCTGCTCCTGCTCCTCCTCCTCCCTCTCCTCCTCCTCCCCCTCTCCCTCCTCCTCGTCCTCCTGCTCCTCCGCATCCCCCTCCTCTCCTCCTCCTCCTCCTCCTCCTCCTCCTCCTCCTCCTCCTCCTCCTCGTCCTCCTCCATTCCTTCTCCTTATAGATAACTCCTCCCTGTCGCACCCCGAGGCCAGTTTTTAGGGCGGACCGGGCGTTTCGCCTGAGACTTCCTCACCATGTATGACTCTGAAGCTTGAAGAGTGACAACAGTTTCACGAATTGAGGGCGGGTGTTTTTCAAAATGTGGTTCTCGTTTTAGCGCCGCGCACATTCGTTTTAACAAGTTGCAAGAGTGTCACAGATTGAGTGCGGGTGGTTTTCAAAATGTGGCTCTCGCCTCGGCGCCGCGCACATTCGTGGTCAACGTTTGCACGAGCTTCACGTATTGAGGGCGGGTGGTTTTCAAAATGTGGCTCTCGCCTTAGCGCCGCGCAAATTCGCTTGCAAAGCTTGCAAGAACTTCACGGATTGAGTGCGGTTCCTTTCCAAACTGTGGCTCTCGCCTTAGCACCGCGCACAATCGTTTTCAAAAATTGCAAGGGCTTCACGGATTGAGGGCGGTTCCTTTTCAAAATGTGGCTCTCGCCTTGGCGCCGCGCACATTCGTTTTCAAAAGTTGCAAGACTTTCACGGATTCCCATGATCAACGTACCAGACATGCTGTTGTGGAAAGATTCAAGATTTTGCGGGTGCGACAATTAAATTGATTCGCGGTGCTGAAGTCCGTAAATGGCCCTCTGGCACGATTCCGGATCGTCAAGATGCAGCAGATACGTGGCGTTGAAATCCCGTGAACAATGTTTCGGCATTCTTCAAGATCTTCAAACGGTTGTCTTCCATGAGGCAGTTCCCCCAATGGAAATGAACCGTTGTGGGGGCCTATGAAGAGGGAGCTTTGAGGGAGGGTTAATTCCAACATCGTTGAGGACTCTTGGTTTTATACTGGCCATTATCCTCCTCGTCTTCTCCTTCTTTTTATTCGTAGTCGTCTTATTCGTCTTCTTTGTATCATTATTAGTGTTCGTAGTATTAGGATTAGTTTCATGGTTCTTATTAGTAATTTTCTTCTGGCTGTTCTAAGTACCTATATATATGAGTTGAGATTATCATTACTAGAATTTCTGTTCGTATGTTTCGTCTGCTTCTGCTTCTCACTCTTCTTCTTAATGTTATTAGTATTCCTCCTCCTCCTCATCTTTCCCCTCTTCCCCCCTCCTCCTCCTCCGCCTCCTCCTCCTCCCTTCCTCCCTCCTCCTCCTCCTCCTCCTCCGCCTCCTCCTCCCCATCGCCCTCCTCCTCCTCCTCCTCCTCCTCCTCCTACTGCTGCTGCTCCTCCTCCTCCTCCTCCTCCCACCTCCCTTCTCCTCCTCCATCCTCCCGCCTCCCTCCTCCCTCCTCCCTCCTCCCCCATCCTGACTCAAACACATACTGCTCAGTTGCCCGGCAACCAATTGGCCTCTGGCGGATGTGGTGTCGCGCCCCATGCTTTCGCGCAGCGCTTGAGGGGCACCTGGGCCACCGCACATGTCTGCTATGTTTCAAAGTTGGCGACATGTGGTCAAGCGTCAACGAAGTCAGGCATCTTGTTGTGCTGTGCAGAATGCCACGGTGGTCTGTCAATTCGCTTCGGTGTCCTTACACGTCTTCCTGGACACGGCCCGTCCAAGGATGTCGGTAGACGGAGGTGCAGCGGGCTGCGAGCCCATCCAAACCATCCTCCCTGCAGCCTGGGCGTACGTCAATGGATGGGTGGCAGGCGCAATAGTTGTGCAATTTGTGCAATTGCGTTTTAGTACCTTTTATGTCTTCACATTGTGGTATAGTTCTTGTGGTAAATTTCAAAATTACTGGTAATCGGCCTCCGATCTGTAAGTGTCAATGGTGCGTGGCCACCGATGGGTGTTATCCAGCTTTTGCTGGTGCAATGTAGCAACGCACTTGCATGGGCGTCGGGAATGTCTTTGAATTCTGGCTTTTCGCGTACATGTCTTGTCATCCTCCTGCTTCGAAACAGGTGTCGAGGCCAGCTGTCACCGCCCACGAGTGCCGAATGCGTCATCACATGTTGTTTTGTTCGCTCGTACAGGCCCTCCACTCAAGAGGTCGTCTCGCTGGTGCATGTGGCATCCTCCCCTGCCTCGACTGGGTCCCCGAAGGTTGTGTACAGTCTCGTCCGGGTGTAGTGCACATGCAGCACGTGAGGAGTAGCAAGGTCACAGTCATCTTCCTTCTCCTCGTGTCGCTGGAGGTGGTCTGAGGGCAGGTAGCACGGAGTTGCACGACCTAGTCTTCACTCAGTATCATTATCCTCCCCTGCATTATCCTGAAGCCTCCTGCTTGTCCTCCCTCCTCCGCCTCCGCCTCCGCCTCCGCCTCCGCCTCTTTCTCCTCCTCCTGCTCCCCCTCCTCCTCCTCCTCCTCCTCCTCCGCCTCCTCCTCCTCCTCCTCCTCCTCCTCCTCCTCCTCCTCCTCCTCCTCCTCCTCCTCCTCCTCCTCCTCCTCCTCCCCCCTCCTCCTCCAACTCTTCCTCCCCCTCCTCCTCCACATGCCTCCCCCACTTTCCCCTTGGCGGCACGTGACAGTGCGGGGCGAGGGGCGCGGGTGGGATTGGAGGGGGGGAGATCGGAGAGCACCAACTATACACTAACACCGATCCTGGCCCAGGATCAGCCTGGGCCCAGGATCGGTGTATATGCCTTCTTGCGCAAGGCAGGAGGGCGTATACACCGATCCTGGGCCCAGGGTGATCCTGGGCCAGGATCGGTGTTGGTGTATAGTTGGTGCCTTCCTAGGAGAGAAAGGGGGGGAGGACCATAACGTGCGTCATGCCCCAGGCCTTGAGAAACACCCTCGCGAGCCTGCAGAGAGACACCCTCTGCGGATGACCAGCCCAACCATGCCTTCCGGCACGGTAGGAAGACGGGGTCCTGGATGAAACGGGTCCTTGACCCAAGGAACGGTCCGCAGGACGAGCCTCTCAGCCTGAACATACAGTCAACCCGTGTGGTAAGGATGCGCGATCAGGATGCAAGGGCCTTGGACACCCATGTCGAAGCTTCTCGAGCGGGGCGCGGCCAGCGAAAGTGGCCAAGGACGGACCGAGGAGGCAGGGATGCAAGGGTGCCCGTGGGAAGGTTGCCCATCCTTACTATGCGGGTTGACTGTACAGTGGAGGCCAGTCCACAAGAAACCTTCCACAAGAAACCCAATCCTCAGGCCCCAGGACGTCCAGTGATTCTCGGTGTGGGGACGTCAAGCTTCCCATCGCAAAACCATCGAAACCCAAGAAGCCCAGGGCACCCTGGAGGCAAGCAGGGTGCTCCGTGGCATGGGCCTCCACTGTACTCTTTGACGGCCCCGGGGCTCGGGGGGAGGTCCCCGGAGCCCGGCAGACGGCGAGAGGCCTCCTCCGAGGCACGGTCCTGCCCGGGACGCCCTTCTCCGCGCGGCGAGCCGCCCCTTCCCCCCCTCGGCAAGCCGGGCACGGCAGCGGAGGACGTGGGCACCATGCCCAGCAGCAGAATGCCGACACGGGGCGCCGGCGGGCGGGCGGCCTCTCGTGTCCTCCAAGCGGCGGCCTCGAGGGTGGAGGGTCGTGGGGGCCGAGCGTCTCCCCAGTGGTTCATCTGGTTGGTGCTGAGCCTGCGCCGACCCTTCTGCCGCCACAAGGACTGTGGCGCTTTGGCCACGCACTGGCAGGCGCGCGCGCACCCCGCGCGCGCGCGACCTGATGCGCCTTTCAGCCAAGGAAACACGGCGCATGACGGCAGGCTGCCCGTCTGCTTCCGCGCGCGAGCGGGGCCAACAGTGTGGCATTGCCGCGGACGTTGTCCAGGCCGACACTCAGACTTGGCAACGTCCGCGGCGACGCCGAGCCCCGTTCCAAAAGAGGGGGGCAGGGGATCTGCTGTCGGCCTTCGTCCCCGCCAGTTCCGCGAGGGGGAGCGAAGGGGGGTGGGGGGCATCAGCTCAGGGGGGCAAACCTCGACCTGGCGTCCGCGATACGTCCCTGGGAGTTCGACGATAGGCTCCCGATAGCGAGACCACACGTTCCCGCTCGGGGTGGGCTATCGGGCTCCTGTCGTGGGTCGATGCGTTCACACCTGACCCATCCCCCCCCAGCATGGCCCCTGCTGCTGATCGTCGTCGTCCCCGCTCCGTCCGTCGTCGTCC